GCTATATGCTAGGGAATAAATAAAATACAATCTGTAGCTCCTTTGAATACATTTTTTGCCCCTTAGGAGCCACTTTGGAAAGTGCCACAACTGATTTAAGAGAGGCATCATCACTTCCTATAACTAACCAGATCAGTTGCAGGCAGTTTCACTTTGTGACAACTATAGCTTTTTTGTAATCACATTATGGGTCAACAGAAGTAGTGTAGATTGAAAGTAGAAAGATAGACCATTATTCACCAGATTCATGTTTCTGGAAACTGAATAGTATGGTTATAGCTCATTATTTCCCAGAACGATATTTGTGCAAACTAAATACCATGATTACTGCTCATTATTTCCCAGAACGATGTTTGTACAAACTCAATATCATGATTACTGCTCATTATTTCCCGGAATGATGCTTGTGCAAACTCAATACCATGATTACTGCTCATTATTCCCAGAACGATGTTTGTGCAAACTCAATACCATGATTACTGCTCATTATTTCCCAGAACGATATTTGTGCAAACTAAATACCATGATTACTGCTCATTATTCCCAGAACGATGTTTGTGCAAACTCAGTACCACGATTACTGCTCATTATTTCCCAGAACGATATTTGTGCAAACTAAATACCATGATTACTGCTCATTATTTCCCTAAACGATGTTTGTGCAAACTCAATACCATGATTACTGCTCATTTTTCCCCGGAATGATGTTTGTGCAAACTCAGTACCATCATTATTGTTCATTATTCCCCGGAGCGATGTTTGAGTAAACTCAGTTCCATGATTATCACTCATTATATATTCTCCAGAATCAAATCCTTCAGTGGTAAGTCTGAAGGCTTATAACATTAAGAACCGGATTTCGATATACGTGGTGGGCAGAGCACAGGCTGCCCGTCGTGTAGCTTTGTGATTAACTAGGATCGGGTTGGTGGAAAATCAATAATATGATTATAGTTCGTTATTCCCCAGGATCGGGTTGGTGGAAAATCAATAATATGATTATAGTTCGTTATTCCCCAGGATCGGGTTGGTGGAAAATCAATAATATGATTATAGCTATTTATTCCCCAGGATCGGGTTGGTGGAAAATCAATACTATGATTTTAGCTCGTTATTCCCCAGGATCGGGTTGGTGGACAATCAGTACTATGATTTTAGCTCGTTATATCTCAGTATCGTATTGGTGGAAAATCAGTATTATGATTATAGCTTTCATGATGTCAGACAAACACGTAGGTTCAAAAAGTCTTAGTATAAAACGATAAAAACCCTAAAACCAGAGCGCTTTTGAAAGGTAGACCTTTCTTCTTCAGGGTTGAAAAATCAATACCATGATTATCGCTTCGAAGTAGAGCAGCAGATGAAGTTATAAAATTTAGACAAATAGCTAAAAAACAAAAATTGTAAGAGGGTATAGTTGATCGCAATGACAAATTATATGTAGACCAACCTTCCATTGAGCATGTATCTATTTTGCTAGAAAAGCTTTCTACTGTCCAATTTTTATTTGTGTTAATCTTCCAGTGTAGAATTGCTTACCGTACATTTAACTGTTAATTCCTGTGTAGTATTTTCCTACAAACAAGTTATTCTTATTTGGTTTTCCAGTGTAGAACTATAAGCCATCCATGTTTCTTTTGGATTCTTGTGAACAAACTAATATCAAATCCGTGCCCCCCCTCCGTATAGAGCTGATTAATAATCATTTATGATTCGTGTCTCTGTTTATACGAATCATAAATGATAATTAATTAAACAAACAAGTAAATTAAAATGTATATTAAACAACTGACAGATGTAAACAGAGACATCTGTCAGTTGTTCAATCTACATTTTAATTTAGTTGTTTGTTTAATTGATTATCATTTATGATTCGTGTCTCTGTTTATACGAATCATAAATGATAATTAATTAAACAAACAAGTAAATTAAAATGTATATTAAACAACTGACAGATGTTTCTGTTTATATCTGTCAGTTGTTTAATATACATTTTAATTTAGTTGTTTGTTTAATTAATTATCATTTATGATTCGTGTTTCTGATTATATCTGTCAGTTGTTTAATATACATTTTAACTTACTTTAATTTAGTTGTTTGTTTAATTAATTATCATTTATGATTCGTATCTCTGTTTATATCTGTCAGTTGTTTAATATACATTTTAATTTACTTTGTTTCAAAGAGAGAGATTGCTTATTCGTAATTAAGCATAAATCTACACAATGGGCTTTCTGGGCTCTGCTTGACACGGATATCGGAACCCAGATTTTTAGCATTGTAAGCTTTCAGACTTACCACTGGCCAGTTAAGGGGGGGGGGGGAGATCAACCATCTAAACGACAATTGGGTTCACTTTTTTTTTCTGAATTGCCTTTTCCTATGTTATTTTGTTCTGTATTTTTATGCAGAACTACCTTTAATATTTTGACCTGTCTCCCATAGTACTCTCTGTTTCTGTTTATCTTCTTATTCATAGTATCAACCATTCAAAGCTCAGTTATGACTGTCTTACTGTATAGTTGTGTTTTCCATCAAATGCTTTCTGTGCTATTTATCTTGTGCAGCGCTGCTTAACATTCATATTTCAATAGATTTCATCTTACTATCCTCCATCTCATTGTACATCTGTCAGCTGTATATAACTCTTGTTTTTTGCTTGTGTTTAAATTTTAGAACAGTCTGTTTTCCTCTTCGTTTGTATAACTACCAAGCCTTTCATCACTTTTTTTTATCTATTTTCGTGTGCGCTTACTTGTTATCCAAATCTTTGTTCAGTCTGCTTTTCTTTGCAAAGCTGTCTTCCATCTAGGCCTTAGGTGTGTCTGTCTTCTTGTGAAGAGATGCCCACTTTTCAAGTCTCAGGCATACTTATTTTTCTATGTCCACCCTCTACCTTAACCGTAATTGCCGTATCCCTGGGTAAAGCTTCTTAACCTTTCACTGTCGGCTGTTTCTTCATGTCTCTGTAGAACAACTTATTATGGAAACATAGTGTGTCCTTGTATAGAACTGACAATCATTCAAAGTTATTTTTCATCATTTTTTTTTTTTCAGTATCCAATGTTGTCTACCTTCAAACTAATTTGTGTTTTGTTTTTGTTTTTTTCATTCCGCGCAAACTGAGTTTCTGCTATCATTAATAATCCTGTTCTTCCTGGAACCAATGACATCCCTATTCATACTGATATAAAATTTTGTTGTTCAATTTTACCTCTGTCTATGATTTTCCGGTTGAAATAATCTTGATTACATAGATACAGGATCTTTCACTCCATCACAGGCGTTTCGGTGGCATGGGGCGGACTTAAAAAATCCGGGATTTATCCGATATTGGTAAAACCTATAAATGATTCAGCATATGATACTATATGACGAAACTTGACTGAGTTATGACTTGTCCCGTCATCAGCATTGTTAATGACAATACTTTCTGTTTACGGGTCCTCTTCTTCTTCTTCATCCGTCTTTCCACTTGTTTTTCAGACGGATCTGACCGTGACTGGAACTTTGATATTCTTCTATCGATTACTTGCACGAGGAAGGCTCCGAGATGTTTGATTTGTAATCTGTGCAGCCCCTGTGGATGGACTTTTTGACAGCCTTTGTTGATGCAGGAATAAAGCAAAAGAAATAATCAATTATTGTTTGTGACCGTTGCTGGTAAGATGGTGCACCCACCAAGAAATATCATAATTCCCGACTGATATACGTTACCATCATACGGGTTGCATATTAAGATACAGAAAATTCAGAACTTTCCAACGGTGTATATAACATCTCCTAGAAACAATTACTGGCATATCTTTGTTCCTTGCCACCCAAAAATAGCACTTCGCCTCTGTTTAAGGGAGAGATCCTGTGTTAAATCAGTCTTAACTCCCGACTTGTTTATATATTGTTCATTATCGGTGGGACCCACGTATTGCATCATGTTGAGTAATTTTATTTTTCTATCTGCTACGTTATCCAGTATACAGAAGAACTGACAGAAAGATTGGATGAAATCAAACTTATTCTATATAAAATACACAGGAAGGCCTAGCAGTAACTGATAGAGTTAATTGCAGTATTGATGCTATTTTTTTTAAGTGTTTTATCCTGACTCCTGTTCTACTTGGGATCCTGTAACCCAAACATTCTTGGACCCGCAAGCTATATGGTTGAAAAATTTCGTGAAAAGCTACTCGAAGGCTATCTGAAATGACAGACTAAAGAGAGAAGGCAACTAGTCAACACCACCCACCGCCAAGTTTTGAACTAATCTACGCAAATAGTGGGATTTCACTATCACCCGTATAACTCATCTACAGTCCAAAGTGAGGAATGAGTTTCCCCCTTTTTTTTAGGGGGGGGGGATGAGGCCAGTAATAGGGCATGAACCACAAAACCTCTGATCCGAAGGCACTAGACTGCTCTCGCTGCTTTGTACATAATCAGCAGTATAGTAATTATAGCTTTTTTAACAATAACAAATTAATAAAATGAATGTTATTGGCTTTCTTATTACTTTCACTCCCTCCACTTCGGTGAATCAGCGGTAAGCTTGAATGTTTATAACGCCAAAATTTGGTGCCCGATTCATGCGGTGGGTACAATACAAGTAGCTCATTCTGCAAATTTACGTTAAAACAGAAGGTTTTAAAACATTTAATAGCTTCATTGAGAATATAATCGTAATTACAACCCGCAAACGTAAATACCCCTGAAATTATTTGTGGTTTGCTTGAACCATTTTTTTCTGGCAAAGCCACGTTTGACGAAAAGGGATACACGGTGATGAGTATGAGCCGCCTAACGTTGATATAGTGTTTGGATCTATCGATTAAAGATCTGCTGATCCTAACTTCAAGTCCTGACGTCACAATCATGTTTGGATGATAATCCAAGGGATTCCAGATATGTTTTAAGAATATATGTTAGGACAAAGTGATTTAATGAAGACTTACTAAAAGTTCCATGCTTCGGGAACTTTTTTTTAATGTTGAAATGGTGTTTTATTTTAAATACAAAAAGAAGTTACCCTAACCAATTAAACAAGTTGTAGCTGACAGCAATCTAACAAAGTAATGTCAGGCATTCGTATCGTATAAACGAGAAAAACAGGCCTAATATTTATCTGAACTGGTAAACTTGATAACTGCTTGAAATTTACACACTTTCTTTCTTATTCCATAAATATACTGACTTCGCAAATTTCATAAAGATGTGAAAACATTTTTTTACATACCCATTTTATAAATGCAAACATTTGTAAAAAGTTCGTAAAATATTTGTTGTATTTTGCATGCTTAAGCTTTATATATATTTCCAACGCAAGACAGGTAAAAAAAAACCGGGAGAGGGTGGTGGTAGTAATTACTGTAGGGTAAAACTAAGCGTATTTTGTGTTAACCTGGAGAGGGTGGTGGTAGTAATTACTGTAGGGTAAAACTAAGCGTATTTTGTGTTAACCTTGATTGTCTAAAGTATACTGTAGCGTACTTGTTTATCTTCAAAAAGGAATTTAACAATTATGTGATATTCACAAAAAAATAAAATGAAAAATAACTCGCACGGTAATGTCACTGACATCGCAATCTGCTTGTTTACACATATGACGTTTCACTTTTATTTTTGTAACACGGTAGGCCATACGACGTCTGGCGTCCACATGGCCATTCGCACCGACGCCCATTTCCGCATGAACCCAAGCGTGTAAATGATCGGCTGCTTTAACGGTATGGTGGCATCCCGGCATGTGCGGTGGTTCTGCTGTTAGACGCACTTCAAGACGAATTATCTCTACCTGCCTCGCCTGTACTTCGAGAGGACCATCTGTCACGCTACTTGAACTCCTAGATAGCCAGTACGTTGATTTAGACAAATTTGGAATGTGCTACGGCAAAGAAAAAAAGAAAAAGTAAAAAGAGAAAACAGTATAAGGACTTCTTCTTGTTATCGCCAAAAAACGTACAGTTGATCTCAGATTAAATTATGGTTTTAACAGTCTCACTATGAAGTTTCCAAGTATCAAGATATTGTCTACTCATGATTTGGTTTCTTTTGAATTTTGCGCAAAGATACACGAGGGCTATGTGCGCTAGACGCCCCTAATTTAGCAGTGATAGACTAGAGGGAAGGCAGCTAGTAAATACTACCCACCGCCAACTCTTTACCAAAGAATAGTTGGATTGACCGTAACATTATAACGCTTCTACAGCTGAAAGAGTAAGCATGTTTGGTGTGATGGGGATTCGAACCTGCGATCTTTAGATTGCGGCCTAACCACCGAGCCTTGCCAGGCCCACATGACAAGAATCGTTTTCTTACTTTAGAAATTAACATGAATGTGAAGGTAATGAAGGAATTTACAGTCTAATCCATAAGGAAAGTTGACTCCAAGTTCCAGGTTTATTCAAGTACAGAAGTTGCAATAACGCATGCCTTATTAGAACCATTTTATAATACGTTCTAAGTAAAGAATGAAGAATTAATTAATATCGCATACTCTTTGTGAGGAACGATGTATTAAGTTAGTAATTTTCATTACTGGGTTAATTTCTAGTTCTTATCTAAGTGTGTGTAGCTGGTTTAGGTTAGAATGAAGAATGAATACATTTTTTGAGGTATGAAGATATTTGTTTGAAATGAAGGTGCATATTTCTGCCTTTATTGAAATGAAGGTGCATATTTCTGCCTTTATTGAAATGAAGGTGCATATTTCTGCCTTTATTGAAATGAAGGTGCATATTTCTGCCTTTATTGAAATGAAGGTGCATATTTCTGCCTTTATTGTACGTGTAAATGCCCGTATGGCTTTCAAACTTTGATTTCAAAAAAACAAAAATTAACACATAATTGTTTTACATGTGTGCAGAACCCCAAATTGCTCAGAAATAAGTCTGATAGCTTATAAAGCTAAAAATCGGGTTTCGATACCTGCTCTCACCCTTTCAGTCATGGGGTCGTTCTAATGTGACAGTCAGTCGCACTATTCATTGTTAAAGAATAGTTCAAGAGTTGGCGATGGGTGGTGTTGATTAGCTGCCTTCCCTCTAGTCTATCATTTCAAAATTAGGGATGTTTAGTGCAGATAGCCTTGAGTAGCTTAGATGGAAATTTAACAAAGAAACAGAACATACAATGATTGTGTTGTTGACTGCGGAATTCATATAGAAACTCTTCATTGACTTGTGACAGGAGATCGGATAAAACTATTAATTCGTAGGAACCAAAAAAAGAGAACATATAAGAATGTCAGATAGACTTTTGAATCGAATAAATCTTGATAATTATTTACCTTTGTTGAAACTGGTGAAGTACCCAAGGAACAAAACAAGTGAGAAATCTCCTGACTTGTTCTGTACATCATTTTGTGATATTTAATGTAACACTTCATATTTACGTACGTACTATGATGTTTTAATAGTGGACGAAGAAGGTTCATTGAAATAGTTGCTTTTGACGCTTGTTCTTTCATCATTTTTGCACCGAGTATAGAATGAACACTTCTGTTGCTTTTTTTTCTTTACAGTGGTTATTCATTTTTGAACATATATTTTTTTTTTCAAATTCCCCATCTTTGGTTAGTTTCCCTGTCCTGCTGCAAACCACCATCCTGGTGGATAAATTCAATGAGGATCTGCCAACTGAGTCTTTTTCGCACAATTTAGGAGAAAGTGACATTCTTACTATTAAGGAGGTAGTGTGTGAGCTGTTTTGGAACCTTGAATAAAACGCTATAGCAGATAAAAAGAGCTGTAGTAACTGCGTCTACAACATAACCTCGAGGATTTCACACGTAGAGAGTAAAGAAATCTCAGGCAGCTAAAGTGCCAAAACCACAATGTGCTGTAACTCAGCTGAAATGCAATTATATATCACCTGCCATATCAAGACTGTAAGATTATGAGTTTTGAAGTACTTCCAGATGTTTATCATGTTTAGGGAGAAAATGTGGTGAATAGAAAACTTATCCGCCCCAATGTGGATCCTGCGACTAATGAAAGAAGGTAGTAGCAATTTCATTATGATGGTCAGAGGTAAAACGTGAGAGCCTGTTAGACCAGTTCTATTAAACTAGTTGGCCCTAAATTTGACGTGACCATTAAAGTAGTTAATACACTGCCTCGGACAGGGTGGTGGTGGCCAGTCCTATACATTGTGGTACGAGTTAAGAGTGGAATGTACCTATACAAATGTACAGAAATTATGTAGTTTTTGTCGAATGGAAGCACTGTCCAAATCTGCTGTATCTTGCATTGCAACAGCCCATTATCCACTGATTTGTTTTTCAGATAAATGGGGAAATGAGGAACTGTCCAGCCAGTCTCGCTATCGATAGTTACTATCTTAGAGTGGAAGTAGTCCTAGCTGACTGGATTGAGCACAAAATAGTAATAATGTAGAAGTTGCAAGCAAAACACTGTTCGTGAGAAAGGTTTGTTTGTTTGTTTTGAATTTCGCGCAAAGCTACACGAGGGATATCTGCGCTAGCCGTCCCTAATTTAGTAGTGGGCTACTTATTTACCAACGAATAGTGGGATTCACCGTCACATTATAACGCCCCCACGGCTGAAAAGGCGAGTATGTTTGGTGTGACGTGGATTCGTACCCGCGACCCGCAAGTTGCGAGTCGAGCGCCCTAACCACCTGGCCATGCGTGAGAAAGATGAACTGCAATAGAAAAACTTCAATGTTCATTCCAAAAGCTGACAAAAAACCGTGTCATTTCTTCCTTCAAAAGTATTATTATCAGTTAGCAGTCTCTGAGAGCTATATGATTATTTCATAGCATACAATCAATTTCTATATGGATTTAATCGTAGTGGCGTATGCGGTGTTTCAGTCATATTTGCTCTTCCTTCACCACTATCTCGTGTTATCTTCCACTAGTAGTTATAAGCTGAGAGTTGCATGCCTTCTTATTGGGACAGCTGTTTTAATTGCGCCAATCATCTCTTCTACATGCATCATGCCAATAACAGTTCTAGAACATATCTTGAAACTTGTCTGTCTGTAATTACAACGTGGCACTGGTACTTGTCTCGTTGCTGGTGACAGTTTAGTCAGAAATCATCACAATTCTTGCATTGGATCCATACATTCACGTAAATTTCTTGCTTACTGTTTACTTTTACACTTCACTGCTCCTGACCAAGATTTGGTAGGCAGTGGATGGCCTTACGAGACAGCATCGTCTCACAGTCTGCTTCTGCATTAGGTCCAACTTTACTGAAGATGCTTGGATCTAAATTAGTTTCTCAGCTCATCTTGAGTCAAAGATAATATAAACACTCACTGTTTGAGGAAAAGAGAGCATGTTGAATGCCAGATTAAGCAAGATTCATATTTCCAATTGCATTCCATTATCAGGTATAATAACAAAACTACCTTTGTCAATGAAATCTGCAACCTTGCATTCAGTCTACACATGACGAGTCATACCAAATGTATATACTGATCTTAATATCGTGTGTTATTATATCTTTTCTCACAACGTATTCCTTATGGCAATAGTAATGTGAGAATATCACTTTCTCGTCGATTCACATCTTTAAGGGAATGATGTGATTTGGTGGCTCTCTACTCGCAATCTGCGGGCCGCGGGTTCGAATCCCCGTCTCACCAAACATGCTCGCTCTTTCAGTCGAGGGGGCGTTATAATGTGACGGTCAATCCCACTTGTCGTTGGTAAAAGAGTAGCCCAAGAGTTGGCGGTGGGTGGTGATGACTAGCTGCCTTCCCTCTAGTCTTACACTGCTAAATTAGGGATGGCTAGCGCAGATAGCCCTCGTGTAGCTTTGCGCGAAATTCAAAATAAACAAACAAACATTATCTTTTGTTTAGAAAAATAGCATAATATTTTTCATTATTGTATACTTGTTTGTGGTTTATGTAAACGCCAGATTCTCTAGGCCTAATCGTTTTCAAAACATTTATAGAATTTTAGTTGGGACATATTACGATAGCAATAACACAAATTTGATTCAGACAAAATACATAACATGAAGTTCTTAATTTCTGTTTTAGGACATAGATATAAGTTAAAATGCTTTTTGTAGTTCAGCACTGTTTGATGGAAGTCATTATATTGTTATGTTACGTCAGCGGAAGTCACGTGACGCTGGTAACACGCAATGAGTATCTCGAAGGTTCGTGAATGCTCGAGTGTTTGCTAGATGTGCTGTATTCTAATACATAAGCCCGACAATTAATCGGAACGAAAATAGCAGACGGAGAGGTTGAAGATATAGACGGACAATTGAGTCAAGCGCGGTAGGAAGTAAAGTGCGTGAATCGTTCATTGAGAATTATAGCGTGTGTTTAAGTTAAAGTGACTGTGGAAATTAAGTGTATTGCAAAGTTGAATTGAGAAAGAATAAACTAGTTTTATTTGAAAAAGGACTTGTATTGCTGAAGTTCTTCGGAAATAATTTTTTCGAGTAATTAACAAACGACCAGAGACGTAACAGTTACTATATGGCACATTATACTTTGTTTACAATGTAAAAACAATTACGGTATGGCAGTGCTTCAATGTCATACATTTAGGACTATTTTCATTACTGTGAAATAATAGTGAAATCTTCAGATCAGGATTGAAGATCCAGATAGAAGCATAGATGTGTCAAAAGGAAACTGAGTAATACTAAAAAATGAAAAAACTTAATGTAATCATACTGCAACGACTAATGCTAGGAGCTAATTTCTTCAATTATGTTAACCTCGAGGAAATATGCCTATTGTGTAGCTTCTCGCTTAGAAACAATTTACAAGCTATTGCAATGCTTAACTGCTTGATCAAAATATTAATTAAGTTATTCACACATAATTAGGGCAAATATAAAACATTGATGGTGGTATCAGTTCTTTTACAGCTTCTAGTACTCACAATTGAACTGTTTTTCACTTTGACAAAAACTCATAGACTGAGAAACGTATTGACAATATTTTTTTAGTCATATATTTATTTGTATGTTGTAATAAATGTATTCTAATAAAACATACTTCTATAAATTCGTGAATTAATAACTTGCGAGATTTGTTTGTTTTACAGCAAAGCCACGCAATAGGCTATCTGTGCTCTGTCAACCGCAGATTTTAATGTTGTAAGTCCGTAAAATTACCGCTGGTCCACCAGGGACATCTTATTAGGAAACAAAGTTTTATATTTCATGAGATTAGGAAATACAAGAGAATAATTTTCACGAGACTGAGTACATCAGAGTCAAATGTGATTATTGAGAACTATGCTAATTAAAACATACTTACGTTACTATACTTTATAAACGAAGATTGAACGAACCATTACATCAAGCATTATGCATTTACCGTACTTGTTGTTTAGGGCCATAGGTTAAGGTATTATTTCTATAATATAATATAATATAATTCATCTAATTGTAAAAATTGTCATAGTATCTTGCTAACATGCGAAATTGAACAGCAACTAATTCAAGTTGTCAAAATTTTATTTACGATGAACGTCTTCTGACCCTTTGCTGGCCAGCTACGATGTTCTGTTATGTGATTTCTACCTACTGGGGCAGAGAGAATTTTTGTTAACGCCTGCACATAAAAGAGACTAGAATCAGAATAATTGTACATTAATTCAGCATAGGAGATAATGTGTACAAAATGTAACATATCAATAAGTGTTGCATGCATTGAGCCTATTAATTGAAATAAACAACTATTAAAATAAGTTAGGATGATATATCGCTTTTTTAGGAAGAAACAGAGAAGCAATATGGTGAATGTGATACAAACTGAAAAAGTACAGCGTAGAACAACATAGTTTACCAAATTTCCCAGTATAAGGCCTCACAGAATATTAAAAAATAATGCTCTCTTCTTCAATAATTTGCATTATAAGGCCTCCGAGAATATTTTAAAAATGTTCTCTTTTTCAGTAATTTGCATTATAAGGCCTCAGAGGATATTTAAAAAAATGCTCTCTTTTTTCAATAATTTCCAGCGTTAGGCCTCACAGAGTATAAAAATGCTATATTTTCAATAATTTCCAGCGTAAGGCCTCACAGAGTATAAAAAATGCTATCTTTTCAATAATTTCCAGCGTAAGGCCTCACAGAGTATAAAAAATGCTATCTTTTTCAATAATTTCCCGCGTAAGGTCTCACAGAGTATAAAAAATGCTATCTTTTTCAATAATTTCCCGCGTAAGACGTCACAGAGTAAAAAAAATGCTATCTTTTTCAATAATTTTCAGTGTAAGGCCTCACAGAATATTAAAAAATGCTATCTTTTTCAATAATGTCCAGTGTAAGGCCTCACAGAATCAGAACCCTGGTCCCTGTTTCAATACTTCCCAGTATAAGGCCTCACAGAATCAGAACCCTGCTCCCTGTGTCAGTACTTTCCAGTATATACCTCACATAATTAGAACCTTCTTCCCTGTTTCAATATTTTCCAGTGTAAGGGAAATAGGAAAAGAGGGCCAAATCACACTATTTAGTCAGACAATAGTAGTATGAGATTTGGCGATGGGTGCCATTGAATAGTTGCCTACAGCCTTCCCTCTATCAGTTCAAAGTTAGGGACTGCTATGCGCTTATAATCTTTCATGCAGCTTTGCGTGAAAATTTTAAAACAAACAAACAAACGATCCTACTTCCGGTAAAAAAAAAGCAAAACAAAAACTATAATCTACGGACATTACAAATACGGTCACCAACCTTGAAAGAAGTACTTAAGCCGATTCTACTAAATCCACCATCAAGTAGAAAGAACAACAACGACGGGAGTTGTTAAAACTTTTAGACTTTGAAACTGGTTTCAAAACTAACTTCGGCTCACTATACATCGCTACCGCGTTTTGTGCTTGAATGTAAAATTCATCACTAAATATGAGAAGTTAAGACTTACCCAGCCTCCGAGGAAATTCTCCCTCAAATGTAATATTCCAGCATGTTGTGTCCTCTTAAAGTGTACTGAGAGAGTTGTTAGGCTAATGTTGCGAAATGATTCGGTCACAAAAGAGTATGACATCTGAAAGGCCGACCCTACCAGGAGTGTCATTCGTATAGCACATCTCTGTATAAAGTTTACGATTTATGACAATGACTCACGCTGCACCGATCAAAGTGTGAACACTTTTAATAGTGTGTATGACAGCCGTCACACGTTATTGTAACGATGGTTATGACGTCACAGTTTAAGAGAATGTATTTAAAGCAGCAACTAACATGGTCGCCTATATCAGTTTATAATAGTGTTCTAAAGTTGTTGCACAAAAGTTATTATGCACCAAAAATATGAATGATTAAAAAATGCTCACAAACTGCTTTTACTATGCAGATTAGCATTATTAATAGCTCACAGACCGAGTTCAGTTTGAAATATCATGTACTTTTGAACCGTTCAACTTGAAAGATAAATTTATGTTGACCCATAAAAGTTCCAAACTGTTCAGAGCCAATAGTTATTTATATTTTTCTGTATTACTAAGTTTAGACTTACTTTAACATTTTCATACTTTAGCTCTATAATCCTTAATAAATGTACCTTATTGCACCGTAGAAACAAAAATCGAGATTAAGGTTATGAGCATGAATTAATACTTTAGTTCTAATGCTGACAAAATAATGTTCATGTTTATGTTTTTTCTCTGTATGTGCATACGACCATACCAACTCTAGCTAGTTACCGTTCATGCAGTCTTTTAGTTTAACAATATTTATTTTTAAGCTTTCTCTATTTCTCTTTAATTTATAGTGTTTATGTATTGTTCAACGTGAAACTACAGAACAATCCCTAAAGTAAACTGAGGTAGTTGTCAAACTGTGATCGAGTTTCGGGTACAGCTTGACACTAGAAGTTAAGAGTAACCAACGTAAGGTGGGTGAAACCAACTAGCATCCGGTAGTAAACTAAAGTGTTTGCCAACTTTATGAACTGTGTTTAAACGTGACTCATTCTCTCCATTGCAGGTTTCGTGGGTCCGGGAGTTTACACACAAAACGAACACGGAACATTGTGAAAACTCGAGTCGAGTATACCAGATAAATCCACTTAACTTGGAGCTTTGGGGAAATGAAGACACGATATGATGCATTATGGCTTATCCTGACGAGGTCGAGTTTGATATTATAGGAAACAGCATCTTAGTGTGGAAATCTCTTCAAATTATTGATGAGAACAGCAGTATTTCAAGTAAAGTAATGAAAGGGACAGAGCTTAAACCTGGGGGAAGGGAATTTGTTTTTTAGAATCTGCGGTACCGTTTATTGACTAATATATTCCGCATGTACTAGCGTAATAAGTACTTCCAAACAGATTTTAACGCTAGAGCATTTGATTACAATACATAAAAGTAATATTTTTTTTTATTCGTAGGAATTTCTTAATAAAAAACAAAGTAGAACCCCATGCGTTTAATCCAGCTGTCATCAGATATCAATATTTGAATAATATCGTTGTGTAGAAATGGGAATTAAGTGAAATACGTGCACATTTGACTTTGCCTTATTCCTAACAACCAATCTTGATAAATTTTTTAATTTTTGGCCTTATTCCTGCCTATATATCTTAATACTTTTGTTAATATTTGGCCTTATTCCTGTCTACACATCTTGATAATTTTGTTAATTCTTGGCCTTATTCCTGTCTAAACATCTTGATAATTTGGTTAATTCTTGGCCTTTCTACATATTGTTACGACAGCGGAAGTCACGTGACGCTGGTAACACGTGATGAGTTTCTAGAAGGATCGTGAATTGTCCTGGCAATTCTAGTCTTTTCAGGTGCCCTCTATTTTAGCATATAAGCCCGGCAAATAATTGCAGATAGATAGATATAGAGACAGAGTCAAGCGAGCGGTGGTGACGGTAATATAAAGTCTGTGTTTTGTTATCGAGATTGCAAACGTATTGACTGTGGAAATTCTGTGTATTATAAAGTTGTATCGAGAAACAATAAATTAGTTTTATTTAAGAAAGGACTTGTATCACTGAAGTTTCTCGGAAAGAATTTCTACGGGAAATTGACAAACAATCAGAGACATAACAATATCTTGATAATTTTGTTTATTCTTGGCCTTATTCCTGTCTACATATCTTGATAATTTTGTTAATTCTTGGCCTTTTTCCTGTCTACACATGTTGATAATTTCAATTGTTGAAAGAATCCTTTTATTGTGGTGACTAGATGACTGTAATATCTGGACAGGATGAACTTAATAACAGTACAAATAATTTTGTTGAAGAGAGAAAGATGCATGGCTAACGTTTCATCGAATAGACTTTCTTCGGGATCTGATAAAGGTGGCTTGGCCGAAACTTTGATAACTTTTTTGGATACAACAATTTTATAAAGCTGTGGCTGAATTTGTTCATAATTCATTCTTCGCCACTATGACAAACTTCTAGTGTGGTTTATTTTTACACTTTTCTGTTTAGTATAAATTAGAATCAACTTTCATTGGAGAAAACATAATCCACTTACTCATGATTTAGATCGACTGACAGTGATGGTATTTTGTAGTCTATCAAACATAACTTCCTTGTCACGGGTAATCTTTTCAGGCGACAATAGGCTGGTAATTGAAGCTCGTAAAAACATAAGAAATTGATATGACTATACAAGCAAGTGGAAGAAAAAATATTTCCTTTTATGATAAATTAGTGGATCGAAATTCCTGTAATAACAGGATTTAGTCATTATATTGTTACGACAGCGGTAGTCACGTGACGCTGGTAACACGTCATGATATTCTAGAAGGATCGGGGAACATCACGAATAATCCAGTATGTGCAAGGCGCCCTCTATTCCTGTATATAAGTGCTCTGGATAACGTGAGACAAATTAATCGGAATTGAATTGCAGACAGGCTGAGATAAAGACGACAATTGAGTCAAGCGCGGTAGTGACCGTAAATAAGTGCGTGAATCATTGTGAATTATAGCGTGTGTTTAAAGTGACTGTGAAAATTAACAAACGAACACAGTAACATTAGTACAGTTATGCGATAGGTTGTATCAGGTTATACAAATGAAACACAAGTATGTTTAACTGTACATATCAAAAGACATTAATAAAGTATATTTATATTTAGTATATTTATAACACTATATTCTTTGTTCAAAATTCTTTATTTACAAATGATATAGTATTCAATAATATAACAGGACTAATACTAGTGTCTTATGACAATTTTAATTACTAGTTTGTGCTAGTAATTACTAATCGTAGTATTCATAGCTGATTGAAATTTTGTTAGAAAAAGTGAACATTTTCTACAAAAGGCTGTTTCTGGAAATTACTATACGGGAAAAGTGTTCGGATTGTGCTGATATAAACTGTAATGTTTTTATATATTAAAGTGGTACCCGTTATTGAAAATTAACAGTTTTCAAAGTACTGTATTTACAAATTACATCAATAAAGATAAAATCAAACCCTAACTTACAGCGCGTGTGAAAGTCGTGTTTTTGTTGTGAAGAGAGTACTTTTATTTCAGATTGTGTTCTGTGATAAAGAAATGGTTGTTGCAGATACTGTAGTTATTTTTCTAATTGTCTGAATCATGAACACCCAAATTGGATTTTTTATGGATTTTTGTTAGTTGTGCCATTCAATAAATGGCGCCACATTATTTTTATTATTTCGGTCACATACATTAGATAGATACATATAAACACGCTACGTCCATTATAGTAAGATTTGCCAGTTATTTGTTCAGCTTAGAGATTTATCCAAGTCATTTTGTAATACCTTAAAACCCTCAACAGAGCATTAAATAACCATGAATATAATTTCATAAGTAAACTTTGTTAATTATGTTTCAACAAATACCATTAAAGTAATGTTTAAAAAAAGGCAAAGGCCCAAGCACGCCACTCATAACAGGGGTTTAGTTTGACTGAACTCTGTTAATAAGTTATTATTACTCCCATCCAAGCAATCTATAACCCAATTAACTATACCCTAGTGCTTCTGGTTTTTTGTTTGTGATGCCATTCAAAAGATGGCTCGACATTATTTTTATTATTTCGGTCACATACATAGATACACACTATGTTCATTATAGCAAGATTATGCTTTACCAGTTTAGAAAACGCGTTCTGGCCATAACAAGTCTATTTGTTAATTTAAAAACGGAATTATAGTAAACAATAAAATTAGAAAGAATTCTACCAAAACAAAATCACAAATACAAAATATACCATAGCTCCTGCTACTGGCAAGTGAACTGAAATTAAATTCAGTGCTATCTGCTGCCTAAAAGTTCCAAATGTGGTTTGGTTTGAATTTTCGTAAATATATTCGAGGGCTGTATGTGCCAGATGTCCCCAATTTAGTAGTGATAGATTAGAGGGAAGACAGCTAGCCAGTAAAACCCACCGCCAACTCTTTGACTACTTTTTTTTATCACCGAATAGTAGGATTGACCGTCACATTATAAAGCTCCCATGGCTGAATGGGCGAGCATATTCGGTGACGGGGATTTGATTCTGTGTAACAAATTTGTTATTATATATTTATTTTAATATCAACATTTGTTTAGGTTAAATTTATATTTAGAAACATACATAGCTTATAGTGTTGGATATGTATTGCGAAACTCCCACATATTCTCTAAATTTGTGAAAGTTCTCGAGAGTAAGAATCAACAATATGTGTGTATGTAAACGCTTGTGTTAGCACCAGTATTGTTATGTAAAACTGAATTTCTAGAAAAACCTCTACACGCCTATAAGTATAACTAACGCGACGCGCCCAAAGAGAGAGTATCTATTATTAGTTCGCTATAGTCAGTGTGATTGTTATAACGCTTATCAATCGGAAAACTTCAGATATTTTACCAGGAACCTTTACAAAGTTCGAACATCACAAATCATTTAACTTCATTGGATTCTCATCGGATATTAGTATTTTTACGAAAACATTATATAAATTTATCATGGAAAACTCGACGTGTGTGACCGATAAATGACGAAGGACAAACTAGCTAGCTTCCCGTTAAGCGAATTGTACCTACGTCAACTCGTAATTAACTCGTTCGTCGTGAACC